AAAGACTAACGTTGGCAAAATAAAACTACCACAAACCACTAGGGAATATAATATTATAATAACTCAAGTGCTAATATTTGCTATGTCTCGAGGATATTGCTGCCTTAGGTTAATTCTGTGCTTAGTCATACTCAGCACATTCAATTATAAACAAATTGCTCCTGTAGAGTTATGAAAAAGATAGACTGTTCACAGTCCCCTATTTTTTCGTGAGATCGTTTAGGTATACCGCGTCTTACCGCCACGGCTATCTTGATTTTCAAATGTACCGAGGGGGCGGGCGTCGGGGATTATAGCTCTAGGTGAAGCGGGGGGGGGTAGGTGGCGAGAAAAATGAAGGGACTGTAATAACATCACTTCAGCTTGCGTTCACGGAGCGCGTTGTACCAGCAACGCAGGCGTTTAATTGGTCATTAGACAATAGATGTTAATTTGCGTTGATAACAGCTTTAGTTTCAGTTGCCGACACTGACAAGTCGTTGACAAGTCAACGTTTCCATAAAACATACGCTTTCATACCATAAGGCACATCTTGCGTAAACACACGAATGATTTTTGATATTTTGATTAGGAAAATGTTTCCCTGTGCATGTTTGCTGATTTCATTTCGAGGAATGACCCAGAAACATTATAAAATCACTGTTTCGAACGGAGATATTTGTAAACACGCGAAATAGATGCTAAATGTGTCTGGCATGTTTTTCATCACCAACGGAGTTTCTTAATTAATGAATAGTAAAAGGCGTGAAATTCCTGTCACGCCTCCCGAACGCGAGCTGCACTGATGTTATTACAGTCCCTCTATTTTTCTCGCTTCCTCCCAAACCGCCCCCGCCCCCTAAGTAGTTTTGACACTCATGCGAGATGGCAACCCGTAACGCAGAGCGCTCGATCTCGACGATCTTACGGAAAAATAGAGGACTGTGAACAGTCTATGAAAAAGATATAGATTGAAACAAATTTGCAGTCATCGCATTAAAACTTGAGAAAGATCAGCCCAACTTTTTCAGGTTCCAAATCAAGCCAAAGACAACAGGAAACAGGTTCAAAACCTAAATATAGTCTTAAACAACAAAACCACCGGTTATTTTTGGAATTGAATTGATGGAAAGGATAGGGCGTGGCATAGCCAGTCAAAAAGCTGGCATCTGAGTTAATCTACGCTGATGATAAAACTAAAAACAACAAGCAAGTAAAGATAAGAATGTTATGCATTTATATGTACGTATTACCATAAAATAACACGCTACAATCTGATAAAACCTGCCCAAACCCCACCCAAATGTTCTCAGTTAATAGATTTCCCTTCTTTTCCTTCTTAAGTTGTAATTAAACAACCATAGATGTTACATTCAGCTGAACTGAGACAGCACCAGGGGTCACCTTAGGTGCTATCTATTCTCTGGTGCCTGCTTTGTAACAAATGCAAAATAGGTGAAATTTCACCTTTTGATAACTTCCTTTACTAAACTGTCATTTAAATCGATCTCAAAAATACAGTCCAAAATTTCCTCAACAGTAACGTTATATGTCCCAATTTCATGCAAAAATGACCTGCTAAATAATACGGTTTGTAAAATTTCTAAAAATATTAATGCTAACTACCCTCTCTACACTGATTAGCCAGCAGGAATTCATCATAAACTCGTAAACTAAGATCGTTTCCAAATTCATATTTGGAAATTGTCCACGTTAAGATGTCCAAAACATTTGTGTCCCTTGATGGAGGCCAGTCACTACTATCAATAAAACTTTGTTGACACAACCCAATTCTTGTGTTTAGCTCATCATGGACACAAGGCTGTACTGCGAGTGTTTCAAACTCATAAGCACCTAGTTATGGGGTTTATAAAGAAAAATAGAAAACCAGTGATGTTCTAAATATTAGATTCTCCCTCCTTGTAGAAATTGGGATTATTTTACAGGTCAGTTTGGGCGCCTTTTGTGATCAGGGTTCAGGGTTAATCCTGAGGTAGTTTGCAAGACAGTTTGCCGAATAACTAAAAGGCCAACCAGCAAAAGCTAACGATCCAAAAGACAAACGTTCTAAAAATACTTTAAACAGGTTGAGTTTGATCGTCCGGGTGAACGTAGTCCTGAATAGGACTGTTGTTGTTGACAGTCACTGTCAACAACAACAGTCCTATTCAGGACTACGTTCACCCGGACGATCAAACTCAACCTATTGAAATGACTCCTGGGTTCAAACCTTTCACAATACTTTAAATGTCATGATCAAATACTGACCATGGCTCTCGACCAAAAAATCTCTAGAATGTAAAAAGGTCTGAAAGCAGCTATTATGAAAACGTACACCCCATTAATATTTTTCCAAAGAAAAACGACTCCCATCACAAACAAGTAGTGTACAGCCCGGGTGTACAGCTGATGCCCAACTTAGGTTACAAATAAATAAAAGCCATTGTTCTTTCAACTGTAACTGACCAATCATGGCATTTCATTGTAAACAAAAATTTCAAAACAGACTTTACAACAACATTAACGTTATTATATTGAACAGATATAATAGACCTTGTCACGGTTTTCGACGCCATTTGACGAGTAGGCAAACGCGTGAAAAATTACAATGTTTGTATGGAAATTTAATGTCGAATAATTTCCGTAGAACGGCTGTTCTGAAAAAATATCAATTGTACACTAAAGCTTCACTCCTAAGGACTCTACTGAAAAAACAATGAGGGCGTTACATGCGCTAGAAGACCTAGAACCACTTTTTTAAATTTTCTATACATTTGTCTGTAAGAAAGTTCCACGAAAAATTACAGACAAATATATGGAAAATCTAAAGCAAGCCTCTGGAGAAATTTAAGCATAGGTACGTCCCCAATTTTTTTTAGTGCAATCCTTTGCTTTGTAGCTTTAGTTTACAATTGATATTTTTTTCAGAACAGGCGTTTTACGGAAATTATTCGACATTAGATTCTCATACAAACACTGCAATTTCTCACACGTTTGCCTACTCGTCAAGATAGCGTGAAAGCCGTAACAACGTCTATTACATCAATACGGGGAATTTAGGAAACCCTTAAGGGCTTTTACAAGATTCCCCTGTTGTTTATTATTATTATTTTTTGTTTAATCAGGTCTGGATGCCATATGCAGCATAATCAAACTAATGTATAAATCTAACCATAAACTACATGTAGTAGTTTCCAATGGAAAGTGAAGTGCTGCAACTAAAGCCTAACATTTCAAATAATTATAATTGGCATCAGCTGCAGTTTATTTCGATTGTTGATATTTGACATTAACAGTGTCAAATAACTGTGCAAGTAACGCTACACGACACGAAGGCGACTATAAAAACTGAACTTTGAACCAAAATAAGTGTTTATATCAAGCTACATTGTATATAAAAGTCTGTGAGAATAAATCAGCGTATTATTTGTCGGAAACCTGTCCACGATAAAGTTAAGAGCACGCGAGCGTTACCGTAAATCCTCTATTAAGCCCCCCCTCTCAAATAAGCCCCCCTCTCTAAGCCCCCCCTTTTCGGTGGAGGAAAGTTACTAAGCCCCCCCCTCCCCTCCCCCAATCCTTATTCTTCACAAAAAAATTAACGATTAACGTGGCTGACTGATCAGTTATGGTTTATTCAGGCTGAAAGTTCATATTGGTTTTGGTCTTCGGCTGCATGACCTCCAACTTCATGTGCTTAACTTTTTCAACTTTGCGCTCTAGTTCGGCATACTGTATTTCGCGGACTGGACTGGACTGGACTGGACTGGACTAGTAAAACGCGGACTTGTAAAACGCGGACTCAAAATTTGTAAAACGCGGACTCAAAATTTGTAAAACGCGGACTCAAAAATTTGTAAAACGCGGACTCAAAAATTTGTAAAACGCGGACTCAAAAATTTGTAAAACGCGGACTCAAAAATTTGTAAAACGCGGACTCAAAATTTGTAAAAAAATTCCGGGAGTCCACATTTCTAACCCCACATTTCTAATCCCCCTAAAAAAAAAAAAAAAATAAAATAAAAGAAATAAAGTCAGACCCCCGTCATGAACGTTTCGAGTACACATCCCCCCGCTGGGTTGTAGCTCGGGGGGTCGTAGCTTGCAAACCAGTCTATTTTGTTTCGGGACTAGGTTATAGTTTGTTGTGTTACTTTCAAAACTAACACACCATCGATATCTTAAATGCAATTGAGCAAGCCCAAAACAGTTTTACAGGCCCGAAAAGGTACCGAAGGAGCCCCAGTTAAGGGAAGGCCAAAATTTGTCACGCATTATTACACGCACCAAGAGCCTATTATTTATGGGCTCCTGACGCACGCAGCATTCACTCCTTCATATTATATTTTATTTTAGCCTTTTTCCCAGCCTCCACACCTGAAGCATAAGATTTTGAATTTTTATTGTCATTACGTGACACTGGATTAAGTGACATCGACAACGGAAACGAGGCTGTTGACCTTTGTTGACCTTTGAGCAGTAAAATCGCGCCAAAATTCGGAATATATTTTCACGTGGCGGCGCGAAGATGGCTGAAGAAGATTATTGATATTCCCTACCCAGTGCTAAAGGGGATGTTCAGCAAGGCTGCTACGACAGTGGAAGATCCGTCCGCGCTGTGGAAAGTGCCAACTGGTGAAGGAGGTGACCCCTCATGCCCAATCAGATACATGGTTCACAGCCAAACATCACGTGAGCCTCACACTGTCCTTGTTTATCCCAAAACTGGCAAGGTGCAGTGTGATAAAGGGTGTGTAAGCTGGTCCACGTACAGTTTGTGTTCACACACCCTAGCAGTAGCGGAGAAAGAGGGGGCTTTAAAGGAGTTCCTTAAATGGTTCAAAAGCAGAAAGCGTTCTCCTAATCTGTCAGGCCTTGCAAACGTGAACATGCCTAACAATGCTGGTCAAAAAACCGGAACAAGGAAGCGGAAAGGTGGAAGCAATAAATCCTCAACTGATAGGAACATTGTTCGCAATCGGGTATTGCAGCCTACATCCGCACCCGTCAATGATTCATGCCCATCTGCAATTGACCAAAACACCCCACCTTGGCCGCCAGTGTCGCCTTTGCCTCACATTCAGCTGGGTAACAGTTTCAACGTGCCTCGGACTCCACTAGTCCCTCCAATCTCATCTAATCAACCTTACCAGCAAGCCAACGGACAGCCTCCAACCCCAAAGCGTCCAAAGCCCTTACCAGGAATTTTAGTGTTTGCCAGATTATCTTTCCTCGACAGTAAAGTCACGCGATGCTATGGCTGTGGCGACACCCTGAAGCCAGGCGGGACCAATCCACCTCCACCCGATGACCTCGTTTTGACAACACGACTTCGCCGTCAGTATTTAAAAAAAGGACGTCAACACACATCTCCAGATATTTCGTCGGTATATTATCATGTTAACCCTTATTGCATAAGGGTAACCTTCCCTGCCTTTCAACCAAATTCATGCAGAATACCGTCGGATCTACAGCCTTTTCTTCTACCCGAACACAAGCAAGTAATTTTCGAAAGGCTTGCCGCTATGGTCTAGTTGAATTGTTGTCTGTGAGCCGGGATTATGACATCACATGTTAAAGTTTTTTTGTTTGAAGTAATGTTTTAAAGTGGATAGTATAATATCCGGCAATTGAATTGTTGTCTGTATGATTATGACATCAGATTATGTTCCTGTTGACGTTTCATTCGGAACGTTTTATATAAGAAGAGATATATTCATTTAATAAAGCAAATATTTTAGTTATTTATGTATTTATTTTTATTTCTAGTCCGCGTTTTACAAATTTTTGAGTCCGCGTTTTACAAATTTTGAGTCCGCGTTTTACAAATTTTGAGTCCGCGTTTTACAAATTTTGAGTCCGCGTTTTACAAATTTTGAGTCCGCGTTTTACAAATGTTGAGTCCGCGTTTTACAAGTCCGCGTTTTACTAGTCCAGTCCAGTCCAGTCCAGTCCGCGAAATACAGTATGCCCTCTAGTTCTCCATGAAGAATTGTCACCATTTTCTTATCGTTAGACAAAGCAGTATACCGCCCGGGAACCACAAGTCCGTCCTTGAGAAACCTTGCTCCTGTCGGTGAAAATTCTAAGCTGCAACCTTCACGAGATAAAAATTTACACAGCAGAAATGATAATTCTATAGGCAAATGTCCAACTAGATCTTGATGTTGAGAGCTGCTGGTAGACAGGCGGTAAATTTTTGCTACAGGTGATGCGTTTCGCTAAATTAAATAAGTCCCTCCCCCTCTCTTTTAAGCCCCCCTCTCTATTAAGCGTGGCTTTCTATACGAAAAGGGATTTCTCCCGGGCTTAAAGTTTTCCACGTCACACATTATTTGTGTTCTGAGTGTTCTTTTGTTTTCTTTCTGAATCGATTGACTGCGAACGAAAGAGCTTCTATTTCGAAGGCCGTTCTTGAAATCGAGGCAAATGCGGTGATATACATACATACATATCTGTCTGGATTAGCCTGCGAAAACATCCGTTTCTCCTCGTTCTTCGCCGCTGGGGACGTTTCGCGCGTTCCTCCGCCTCCTCCTCTGTCTGGATTTGCAAAAACATGGCTACAGAAATCTCTCTTATATACCTTCTGACTGAGTCTTGTAGCGGAGTATGTTTTTTTTGTTTTAGTTTTTTTTTTTTTTTTTTCATAATTACTTTATATTTATTTAATCGGTACCGGATAGGCTACAGTAGATAGACTTTGATGAGTTTCTCACTGGCTATTGACCTCTTAACCCTTAACCCCAAAAAAAAAAAAAAGTTTTTGATAACTTCGCATAATTCTCTCTGTATGTCAGTTTGAAATCAGCGCGCGTATTAGACTGAACTCGGCTCTCATAGTGGGTTGTCTTCCAGATTTTTTGGCTGCCTTGAGCAAAGTTTTCCGGAAGGCATCATTAAGCCTTATGGACAAACAATTCTCACGTCTGGCAAAGTCTGCTGTGTGCAATATCTTCTCGTATTTCGTCTCATTTCGGGCTACACGGGTGAAAGACTGATCCCGGACCTGTGGTTGCGAACTTTGTTGTTAACTTTGTTGTTACTTGGCAGTAACAAGTCTTTGGCCTCACAAAGTAGGTTCTAGTGTTGAAATCTATTCGGCGAGATGGAAATTCATGCTGATTTCTGACCAGGCCAAAGACTTTGTAAAAAATTGTTTGGAAGGCGGGGGCTGTATGTCTCCTTTTCAACCGCTGGTTTACATCCGGAATCTTGAATAAATCGATTGTCAGTGAGTCGAGAAGTTCCATGTGACGATTTATGTGGAGAAAGCGAGGGTTTTACGGAGTAATTTGATGATGTCTTGCTCGTGTTAAATGTGGAAATATTATGAGTGGCTTTGCGAAGTGTTGTGATTGCCACGAAAGTCATTTATTTTGTGATTTACCGAAAGCGTTGACAGACAAATCTCAGGTATGTGCGGTTGAGCTCGTGTTTAAATTCTAGAATACTTTGTGCCAAGCATCAAAACGCTTCGTGAGTGTTTAGTTTAGGTGATTTTGTCTTAGCCTATTCTGTGCTCAAAGATTGTGCATTCTTAATCTGTTTTCGGCCAACACTGAGATATGGGCGTCACGGTTTGACTGACTAAAAGATTACAATTTCAGGACGTTTCAAATGTTCTTTTTTTTTCGCAAACTCCTGTTACTCCTGCGAGAAGTTACTTCTGTTTAGCCTCAGCTAATGACTTTTAACTGCTTCCCATTCCACTTAGATGTCAAATAGTTAAAATGCGCTTGAAATTTCTTTAGCCACGTTTTAACAAATCCAGTATGGTATATACATGCTTACATACATATTTACATCCAGAAATCTCAAATGAAGCTGGCTTCGGGCACAGGCAACTCAAGCTGGTCACTTGCGCGACCTCAATTTGTTTGCTGATATACCTGCACACCACTAAGCGTTCTCTAAACACTGTTGTGACAAAAGATACTTTTTCAATTTCTTTTTTATACTATATTGTGATTTTGTGTTCTTTAAATGTTCTGGTATAGAATTCCACAAATTTTTCCCTTTACACTGTATTGAATCAGTGATAGCCGTAGTTTGTTCTCAGCTGTAAAACTGCTTATGTATATTATTGCTTCGCCGTGTAGCATACGATTGAAGTTGACTATTCAAAATGTAAATATCTCTAAAATTATACGGCCGGGGGCAAGTTATTATTAAATAGGTCAATCAATGCTAGTGTTTCTCTCCTAGTATTTTTCTTGTAAACGTGCATATGAACGCAAAAGTTACATCACTTGACCTTCATTGGGAAAACAAAACATACAAGCTAAGAAATCTACTAACAAGCACAAACTGGTGTATAATAAGTGACTTAAAGTTGATAAAAAGGGCAAATTTAGTTAACCTTCTCCTAGTAACGTGAAAGAGCTTGGAAGAGGTCGAATCATGACTTTTTTAGTGAGGAGTTATATCATGTAGAGTTTATATGGTCGTTACATACAACTTTCCTTAACTATAATCAATGTGTAAGACGGCTTTCGACAAATACCTCGTCTTAAAAGAAAAACATATTGTCTCGAGCCGCCTGGGACGGAATAGCCATCGCTTAACTGTTTTTCGTTCAGAATTGAAAAGGTGTCGTCCTACTTAGTTGATCATGATTGAATGACGGAAACTTTCGCAACCTGTTGGCAGTAAAGCGAATGTCAAGCGAAGGTGAGCTTACGACCAACCAAAAAAGGAAAATCGTTGCCGTCATTACTTGCTGTTGATCTCAGCTGAGTTTTTACTGAACAGGACTGAGGAAATAGAAATAATGTGGGATGGATTTTCGTCGCTTTTCTACAGTTAAGAAAAGGCTTTTTGCTTAGATTGCTACCCATGATAAGGAAAACTATTGGTTTCAAAATACACACTATTCACGTGTATATACACGCATATTCTACAAAACGATAAAGGAAAAAATAAATTTCTTTAGAGAACATCACTTTATATGAAATCGTAAACAGGCAACCCAAGCTCGCCTAATAGAAAAGGCAAGAAGTAAAAATTTATCGTTCAATAATTATGACTAATTTCCACACTTTGACCCAGAGTGCAGCCCTCTTCCACGTCCCCATTCCCCCTCCGCCCACTACCTTAGCGTTTCTGGAAGAAATACACGATAGCTACTCGGAAGTGTCTTTTCGCCGATGAGCCAGAAAACTAATCAGAAGAGAATAAATCATCCAATGTGTTTGGAACTGTTTTGTAAAGGTTTGTGCACAGCAGCCTTTCCACCTTTCGTGTTATTATTTATTCACTTAATTATTTACCGTATTTATTCGATTAACCGCCCTGAGCGCTTATTAAAACTTTTGGACCTTGAGAGTGGACGCTTATTCGGGGTGGGCGCTTATTCCAGGCTGGGCGCTTATTAAATTTTCTCCATTTTCAGCAAGTGAAGTATGTTTATCATGCAACAAGACAATAAATGCTAATAACAAAACGCGAAGAAGTAACAAAGCAAGGTTTCGGTAAAATACTCTGGAGAAAACTCCGTCCTCGGGAAAGTCTCTTATTAGAATTTATTCACTCAAGTGAGTGGGGTAGGGGTGAGCGCTTATTTGGGTTTGATTGGGACGAGGAGGGGGTGGGCGCTTATTAACTTTTTCTGCCTTTAGGGTGGGCGCTTATTCGAGGTGGGCGCTAATTCGAGGTTGGACGCTCATTCGAATAAATACGGTATTTATTATTTACTTAGATTCACCAGTTCTTGACAGGGTCACCGCAACAGGGCCTGGCGCCACTACGAGAGCCTGTACCAGTCTATCCCTTCATGAGAGATAGACCAATACTCCGGGGACTACTTCCCCGAAGTTAATAACAAAAAACGTATAACGGTTAGATATGTTAACATGTCAAGAAATGTGATTTCAGACAACAAAATAGTTTTAACTATTGTTTACATGATAAACATTTATTCAAAAAAAGAATTGAAAGTATGCTATTGAGTACTTTTTTTGAGGAAGTAGATTCGTTTATTAACCTATACCAGATCATTTCTAAATTAAAATCCTCAGTAACGAGAGAATGAACTGATACCAGCTTTTTCCAAAAAAAAACTTTTCCTCTGTAAATCTTTTATGCACTATTTTTTTTTTCTCCCCGTAAAATCTTTCCTCATTTTAATCATGTAAAATTAATTATTTCCTACACGTAAATTGACTTGCCCACTAAGATTAGCTCTAGCTACCTGCGGGCCAGTACACTCTTGTAAAACTCAATAAGGGAAATAAAACCTTGTTTTTGTTGTTGTCATAACTTTCACTGAAATATGCAAAAAGGTTAGTTTCGACCCATTTATACGTACACATGCAACGCACATGCAATTACAATGGTATATAACTCTTGGACTTTTTGCATTCTTTTGAATATGGAAACAAATTTATCTTTAAATCAGTCCTTTTTGCCCAATTCTTAAGGTTTTTTTCCAACGTACCTACGTCTTCTATAACACATGGGGACTTTCCTGGGACATTTTCTCTCCAGAAGGCCGTACTTTTGGTGGCAGCTTGCCAAGTGTTTCTTCGAACCC